TATTGGAAAAGACAGTGGATTAAAAAGGGCCAAGTACTAAACCCTGGCTAATAATCAATAATAATTAAATTTATTACTTAGTAATTCACTGTGCATTGTGATTCTGCATGTTTCATGTTATTACTGAGTTGGTGTATCACATTCTGTAAGGTTTATTATAAGGCCTCATTTTCAACAATACTGTGAGATTAATATATTGCTAAAAGAGCACTGCCAGGGTTTGAGTGATGCCTGCTATAGAGTGAAGGGATTAGTGCCTAAGCTACAACATCACCTGCTTAGAGAATAAGAGAAGAGACACCTTCAGATATTGGTAAGAGAATGCATATTAACAGGTTTCATATTATTATTATTATTTTTATTATTATTATCATTGTTGTTGTTGTTGTTGCCGCCATTATAATTAGGCCACACTTTAAGGTCACATGTTAACACATGTATTATTATAATTATTGTTAGTAGTAGTAGTAGTAGCAGCAGTTGTTGTTGTAGTAATATGATAATGATGATGACTATTATTATCATTATTATTATTTCAATAATAATTTAGCCTATCCTTCTTTTTGCTATTATAGTGACTTTTGTAAGCATCACAGAGAACAGCACCGCGACTACACCGACAACTACAGAGACTGGTAAGAGAATGCATGTGAACAGGTTTCTTCTTCTTCTTAGTATTATTATTATTATTATTATTGTTGTTGTTATCATAATTATTATTATTATTTCAATAATAATTTAGCCTATCCTTCTTTTTGCTATTATAGTGACTCCTGTAAGCATCACAGAGAGCAGCACCACGACTACACCGACAACTACAGAGACTGGTAAGAGAATGCATGGGAACAGGTTTCATATTGTTATTATTATTGTTATTATTATTATTATTACTATTATTATTATCATTCTTATTTCAATAATAATTTAGCCTATACTTTTTTGCTATTGTAGTGACCTCCGTAAGCATCACAGACAGCAGCACCGCAACTACACAGACAACTACAGATACTGGTAAGAGAATGCATGTGAACAGGTTTCATATTATTATTGTTATTATTATTATTATTATTATTATTATTACTACATTGTTATTATTATTATTATTATTATTATTATTATTTCAATAATAATTTAGCCTATCCTTCTTTTTGCTATTATAGTGACTTCTGTAAGCATCACAGAGAGCAGCACCGCGACTACACCGACAACTACAGAGACTGGTAAGAGAATGCATGTGAACAGGTTTCATATTGTTATTCTACTTATTATTATTATTATCATTATTATTATTATTTCAATAATAATTTAGCCTATCCTTCTTTTTGCTATTATAGTGACTTCTGTAAGCATCACAGAGAGCAGCACCGTGACTACACCGACAACTACAGAGACTGGTAAGAGAATGCATGTGAACAGGTTTCATATTGTTATTCTACTTATTATTATTATTATCATTATTATTATTATTTCAATAATAATTTAGCCTATCCTTCTTTTTGCTATTATAGTGACTTCTGTAAGCATCACAGAAAGCAGCACCGCAACTACACCGACAACTACAGAGACTGGTAAGAGAATGTATATGAACAGGTTTCATATTATTATTGTTATTATTATTATTATTTCAACAATAATTTAGCCTGTCTTTCTTTTTGCTATTATAGTGACTCCTGTAAGCATCACAGAGAGCAGCACCGCGACTACACCGACAACTACAGAGACTGGTAAGAGAATGCATGTGAACAGGTTTCATATTGTTATTCTACTTATTATTATTATCATTGTTATTATTATTTCAATAATAATTTAGCCTATCCTTCTTTTTGCTATTATAGTGACTTCTCTAAGCATCACAGAAAGCAGCACCGCAACTACACCGACAACTACAGAGACTGGTAAGAGAATGTATATGAACAGGTTTCATATTATAATTGTTATTACTGTTGTTGTTATTATTATTATTATTATTATTATTATTATTATTATTTCAATAATAATTTAGCCTATCCTTCTTTTTGCTATTATAGTGACTTCTGTAAGCATCACAGAGAGCAGCACCACAACTACACCGACAACTACAGAGACTGGTAAGAGAATGTATATGAACAGGTTTCATATTATTATTGTTATTATTATTATTATTTCAATAATAATTTAGCCTATCCTTCTTTTTGCTATTATAGTGACTTCTCTAAGCATCACAGAAAGCAGCACCGCAACTACACCGACAACTACAGAGACTGGTAAGAGAATGTATATGAACAGGTTTCATATTATAATTGTTATTACTGTTGTTGTTATTATTATTATTATTATTATTATTTCAATAATAATTTAGCCTATCGTTCTTTTTGCTATTATAGTGACTTCTGTAAGCATCACAGAGAGCAGCACCGCAACTACACCGACAACTACAGAGACTGGTAAGAGAATGCATGTGAACAGGTTTCATATTGTTATTCTTCTTCTTCTTATTGTTGTTGTTGTTATTGTTGTTGTTGCCATAATAATTAGGCCACACGTTAACACATTTATTATTATTATTATTATTATTATTATTATATTAGTAGTAGTAGTAATAGTAATATGATGATGATGATGATGATGATTATTATTATTAGTTCAACAATGATTCAGCATACTCTTTTTTTGCTATTGTAGTGACTTCTGTAAGCATCACAGAGAGCAGCACTGCAACTCCACAGACAACTTCAGATTATGGTAAGTGAACACATAACACGTTTAATATTATGATTATAATGATGATGATTATTATAATTTTGTTGCCATAATAATTGGGGCTTGACTTTTTTTGCTATTATAGTGACTTCTGTAAACATCACAGACAGCAGCACCGCAACTTCACAGACGACTACAGATAATGGTAACTAAAAACATATCAACACACATTAGTATTGTTACTGCTATGATGATGACAATTGTTATTATCTTAGTTGCTGTTGCCATAATACTCTTTTTTGCTTTTATAGTGACTTCTGTAAGCATCACAGATAGCAGCACCACAACTACACAGACAACTACAGGTAATAGTAAGAGAACACCAAAGATCTTATATTGTGTTGTGAAAACAGTCTAATGTTAGTGTAACCCATTTCAGCATGCTTCTGCTAGGCCCTAAACAGTTATGTTTGTTTCACAATCACTTAAAAATTTGAAATGTTGGTTAATAATTTGCTAATGAAACATATAAGTACAGTGACAATTATATTAGTTAATATTAATATATTAATTATTAAATCTACTAGTAATTACATCAAGAAATGTTCAATCAGAACTCCAATGTCTGAATCTACATAAATTTGTATTTTCCTTCTTTTCTTTTTTCAATTAATCAAATGCACCAGTGATTACACCGAACATCACCTTCAGCACTGTACCAACATCTACAGAGTCAACCATGACCCTTTCAACAGGTAAATAAAATCCAGCTTTTATTATTACAACACAGATTGTTGGTAAGTTCTAAAATATGGTTGAAAATGAGAATGTTGTAGGGCTTTAGTAGATACTAGGGTTTGCGCAAGCGGCTAAATGCCAGCATTTGACCAGTAAAAACACTGCAAATTAAAATCCCACGATAAAAAAATATTAAATAAATATAATCCTGTGGTGAAGCCTCCCACTCTGCTGTTCTGGAGAAGAGGCTGCCCCCAGACTACTGCTATTTAATCGAGGCCGGAGCTTCACTCAGGTTCAAGGAGCCCAAACGGTGCCGTCCTGCGCATTTTAACACAAAATAAGGCTCCTGTTTGGCTCATTGGCTCCTCGTCATTCAAAAGTGTATGTCTTTGGTCATGAACACAGTGAAGGCAATGTGGGCGGGTACTTGAGTGCTTGGTAACCAGTTGCAGTGCCACCATTCAAATACTCAAAATATTGTTTAAGCATTCTTTACATTTCATCATGTAAAGACAAAGAAAAAAAACAGGTTAGCGATTCAGGGAAACACAAATATTATGTTTTAATATTTAAGTTTTGTAAGAAAGTACTTTATACTTTGCAACTATGAAACCTAAACATGACCCAGATAGTAAATAAGTGATGGTCCACACTTAATACTTTCATCCGGCCCACACAGCACCGTGGAAGGATGGTGAAGACTTTGAATCCGGGTGTCAGAATGTTGGCTTAATTTTCAATAATTTTCAGTTAATTATTATTATTATTTTTTTTAAATAATTTTAAACCAAATTTGAATTAAATAACAAGCTATGATATTTTGTAGTTCTCCTAGTACTGAGGCTGTGTTGGACTACTTAATAATTTTTCAGTTAACCAAAAAAAGTTATATATACCTGTTTAAAGACATTGGCCAAATAAGCATGTTTTAGTGTGGGCCACTTTTAGCTCACATGCAGTTTGCCAGTATCAATGCATAGGCAGCAATGCAACATTTCTGCCAGAAGCAGCTCACATCTGTTTTTGGACATGTGGGCCAAACAAGCATGTTTTTAACGTGGGCCACTTCTGGCTTGCATGCCTTTACCCAGTGCCAACAGAGGGCCAGCAATGACATGTTTGCCAGAAGTGGTCCACATCTGCGTGCTACTAGGGGAATATGTTGTCAAGGACGTATAGTTAAGGACGTGACTCTAAAGGCAGAAATAGCTAGCTTTGGCATGTTTTTTCTGTTAACTAGGTAAACTATTTCAGGTGAACTTTCAGAAACAGTTCAAATATATTTTTTCTGAAAAAGTGACATGTTGGGACAGAATCCACTGATTACAAAAGACCTTATGTAAAAGACGAGTCCTTATCAGCAGCACAGCTTGTACCAGTTAGTCTTAGCTCATGAGGTGGCAGCTTTTATCACTCATCAGACACAAAATTTAACAATTTTATTATTCTTTTATAAATTATTTATACCATTTTCTCCAGTAATATATATTAGTGCTGGACTGTTCTGTGTTTTAATGTATTGTATTAATATTTTTCCCCCCAAGTTGAATTTTCAAGTACATTACAAACTACTCCAGAAACCAGCACTCCACAAACATCTTCCCCATTAACCCTGGGTAATATAACAGGCCCACCTACGACATCAGGTAAGTTGTAAAGCAGGATTTTAAGGCTAAATGCTACTCATAGGACTTTTAGTAGATTCACAGAATGCAATTTTTGGCAGCACTTTATTTGAATGCTCAAACATAAGCACTAAGTAACCTGTTTAAAAAGTACTTCAGTATTCATAAACATCTAATGTGAGTATTTTCAGGTTGACATATGATATTTTGTGAAGCTGGTATTCACAGTAGTGTCCATTGAGGCCATTGAGACTAAAAGAGCAAAGATGCCTGAGAAATCACATGATCAGACAATAAAAAAATGGTCAGTGCAAAATTGTAATAAGATGTTGGCATATAATGGGAACATTTACACTGCTCTGGCGCTCTAGTGCACCACATCGCAGCTCATTCGTTTTCTATGAGAAGCGGTCTTGCGGTCACGCGGTGCATGATGTGTTTGGTGCGTCAGATTTGGACGTTTAACTTTAGTCACAGAAAGCTAGCCTGTATGCACTTGTTCAAAAAGAAAGCAAAGACGCTGTCTCTGTAAACTTTATTGATCATTTACGAATGGAGACAGATTTTTTTAATGCTCACTAAAGACTCTGTTGACCATCTGACATTGACAGCTTTGATAAAGCACAGAGACATGAACTGAAATTCGCTCAGGTTTGCACTTCTAGCTGTGGCACTCTGGTTTACAACTCTGTCTTTAGCAGTGCTGAACAAGAAGAGCAGACAGATTTTACAGTAAAACTTGAGCACATGTATAAGTGCAAAACTGTAGGTACAGTTGGCTGATGAGTGATAATCTTATACATGACTGGAATTTTAACCCTTTGTCCAGCTAACTGAATTATAACCAGATATTATTAAAATTCCTGTTGTTTGGTGTTAATATTGCGCAAAACCTATGCTGTCTTATTACTCGTCAGTAAAATGTATCTAAGGTTTTACAGCTTGACGTGCTCAAGTTTTACCCTGAAAATTTCAGTTAATTTGTCCAACACATAAATGCGTCTGACTACACCAAACATCACCTTCATTACTCCACCAGCAACCTCCAGCTCAACCATGAACTTTCAGTATTCACATCATTTCCACAGATCTGCACAATATCGACCCCTTCCCCCAAAAATGAGCATAATGTATTCTTTAAAGAAAAAACTACATTCATTATTTTTGTATGAAATATTCCATACCCTTTTCTCCAGTAATATGTAAAAATAAGTGCTAGACTGTTCTGTGTTTTTATTTTGCATTTGTCCCCCCCCCCAGTACATTACAAACTACACCAGAAACCACCAGTATTTATTTGCCAGTATTTAACAATTTCATTATTCTTTTATGAATTACTTATACCCTTTTCTCCAGTAATATATAAATATTAGTGCTGTACTGTTCTGTGTTTCAATGTATTGTATTTATCAAGTTGAATTTTCAAGTACATTACAAACTACTCCAGAAATCACCAGCACTCCACAAACATCTTCCCCATCAACCATGGATAGTACAACAAGCCCATCTACGACATCAGGTAAGTTATAAAGCAGGATTGTAAGGCAAAATGCTACTTACAGGACTTTTAGCAGATGCATAGAATGCCGTTTTTGGCAACACATTATTTGAATGCTCATTAGTGACTTCACATCTCATACATAAGCACTAAGTAAGTCTAAGTCTCTACATAGTGGTTTCATATTTCATGCATAAGCACTGAATAACCTATTTAAAAATAACGTATTTAAAACCTATTTAACTGTAATAAGAGGTTGGTATAACAGTATACAAGTTTCACAGCTTCACATGTTCAAGATTTAACCTAAAAACTTAATTTGTTAAATACATCAATACGTCTGACTACACCAAACACCACCTTCAGCACTCCACCAGCAACTATCAACTCAACCATGAACTTTCAGTGTTTACATCATTTTCGCAGATCTACACAATGTCAAACCCCTCCCCATAAATTAAGATATAAATTATCATAATATATTCATTAAAAAACTGTAGGCATAAAACTGCACAGCTACTACATGCATTATTCTTCTATGGATTATACCATTTTCTCCAGTAATATGCAAAGATAAGTGCTAGACTGTTCTGAGTTTTCATGTATTTTATTACTACACCAGAAACCACCAGCACTCCACCAACATCTTCCCCATCAACCATGAGTAGTACAACAAGCCCTTCTACAACATCAGGTAAGTTGTAAAACAGGATTGTACGGCTAAATAAGGACTTTTTGTAGATTCGTAGAATGAAGTTTGCACAATGTAGAAAATCTTTCCAAAGATGGAAAACAAAAACAGTAGCCTTGATACTGTAGAGGAACTATGTGTTCAGTATTCTTCTATGAATTAATCCATACCAGTAATATTTCTTTCTCCTGTAATATATAAATATAGGTGCTAGACTGTTCTGGGGTTTATGTATTTTTGAATTTTATCCCCCCCTCCTCAGATTTTCCAAGTACAGCAATAACTATAACTACACCAACCAGCACTCCACCAACATCTTCCCCATCGACCATGAGTAGCACAACAAGCCCACCTACGACATTAGGTAGGTTGTAAAACAGGATTGTAAGGCTAAATACTACTTAAATGGCTTGTAGTAGATTCATAGATTGCACTCTGTTCAATGTAAACTCTCTTCCCTTGAAAACCAAATTAAAAAGTGCAAAAAAATGAAGATAAAAATGTGGATAATCTGTTCAGATGGAAAAACAGTAACCTTGATACTGTAGAGAAACTGTTCAGTATTCTTCTATGAATTGTTCCATACCAGTAATATTTCTTTAAACTACAACAGAACCGACAACTACACCTGCCACCACTCCACTCACCAGTACTCCACCAACTTCTACCCCATCAACTATGAGTACTACAACAACTCCATTAATAACTAGTGGTAAGTTGTTAAACATGATCTTAATGCATAATGTCTCTTATAGGACTTTCAGTAGATCCATAGAATTTCCTCTATGCAACTTTTGGCAACACTTTTAGAAGATTCATAGAATGCAATTGGCACAATGTAAACTCTCTCCCTTTGAAAACAAAAAATAGCAAAAAAGTAAGATAAAAAATGTGGATAGTCTGTTGAAATGGAAAACAAAAACAGTAACCTTGATGCTATAGAGCAGAGGTCTCTAATAGGCGGACTGCAGTCCGAGTCCAGACCCAGACGCCGTCCTATGCTGACCTGGACCTATAACCGATAAACTATGGAGAATTGTTTAATTTCAACGGGGTGGTCCTGTTTTAATCGGCGTAACTTTTCTAGCCTTGATGGTATGGCTTTAGCGGCCCGGGAAACTCACAGACCAATCGCGTGCATTGTAAATATCATGTGACGCTACTCAGCCAATCACATCTGTGCATTACAATGAGCACTAAGACTCGAGTGAGTGTCCCACAAAGTGAGAACAAAGAACAAAGTGAGTCAGAGGGAAGCTATTTTACATGCCGTGCTCTAAAAAGAGAAAACTGACAATAAATGTTGAAATATTACTGAATTGTACTTTATTTGATTTGACATTCAGTTGTTGACTACATAAGATATTGATACAACTACTAGGCTACTTCAGCTGTAGAGGAACTATATGTTCAATATTCTTCTATATGTATGGATTTTTCAGTTCCCTTTGCTCCAGTAATGCATAAATATAAGTGCTAGACTGTTCTGGGTTTTGTTATGGATTTTTATACTTTATTTTATACCCCTGCCCCCCTCAGTTGTTCCAAGTACAACAATAAGTACAACTACACCAACCAGCACTCTACTCACCAGCACTCCACTCACCAGCACTCCACCAACTTCCCCATCAACTACGAGTACTACAACAACTCCAATAATAACTGGTGGTAAGTTGTTAAACGTGATCTTAAGGCAAAATGTCTGTTAAAGAACTTTTAATAGATCCAAAGAATTTCCTCTATGTTACTTTTGGCAACACTTTCAGTAGATTCATAGAATGCAGTCTGCACAATGTAAACTCTCTCCCTTTGAAAACAAAAAAGAGAAAAAAATAAGATTTGTTCTGTTCAGTTGAAATACAAAGTAAGTATGATAATGTAGAGCTACTGTATGTTTACTCTTCTTCTATGAATTGTTCTATACCCTTTTCTCCAGTAATATAAAAGTAAAGTGCTAGACTGTTCTGGGTTTTTGTTATGTATTTTATTTATGCTCCCTACCCCCAGACATTTTTCCAATTACATTAACAACTACGACTACACCAAAAATCACCAGCACCCTATCATCCCCATCAACCACGAGTGCCACAACTCCATTCATTTCTGCTAAGTTATAAAATATAATTGAAATGCAAAATGCTTCTTGTAGGACTGAGTAGATTCATAGAATTTTCTCTATGCAACTTTTTAAAATTTAAGATAAAGTACAAAAGTATAGTTTCTATGAAGGAGATTTGTGCTGCTACAGACTGACTCAATTTTTCAGTGCTCATGCATGTGTTACGAAGACCCCATGTAGGTAGCTTTCTAAAAGTGTTACACAATTTTCTATACTAACTTTTATTTACTTCTAGGTGTGATGCAAACAGCCTTTACAAATGAATCCTAAATGGAACAATTTTATAGACCCAACAATTAGAATTAGAAGTCCAAACCAATCTATAATTGACAAGCAAAAGAAAATGATATTATTCATGCTGATGCAAATATAACATCAGTGCACATTTTTGTGATACTGTTCATTTATAGGGAATAATGGGAATGTGACTTACTTAATACGAGTGCGCATCATCTCTGGAGCTGGAAAAGATGTGGCACTACAGGCCCTTAGAAATGTAAGTGTCTTTTACTGCTCTTGTTATGCCACTGAGACAAGATTACAAAGCATTTGTGTAGGAGTGCTGTTGTTGGACCATTTTTGAAGCATCATCGGCTACGTTCACATTTCCAGGTTGAAGTAGCACAAGTCCAATTTTTTGCCCTAATATGACTGAAGTTTTCAGGGCTGTGTGGACACGCAAATCTGATCTTTTCAAATCTGACTTGAGCCACTTTCATATGTGGTCCTAGATTGGATACATATCGGATTTGTGGCCGTGCCACTATAATATGAACGCTCACATCGGAATTCATGTGCTTTTTTTTTCCACTGCGCGTTACCATGGCAGCAGTGGCGTTAATTAGAGTTAATTATCTTCTCAGCGAAGCTCGTTCTGCTCGTTAGTTTCTTTGCTGATGACACATGAGATTCATACACGTGACGTTACTGAGTAGGATTTTCGCATGCAGGTCATTTCAGGATGCCGGTTCATTCACATTAATGACAGATTTGAATCAGTTACCTAAATGAGTGTGAAGCACCCTGTCAGAGAGATCGGATTTGAGCAAAAAATTGGATTTAAGCAACGAGGCTTGTAATGTGAATGTAGCCATATTCAATGACTGTATTTATAGTCCCCATTTTGTCTATTAAGCCTCACCTTACCTTTTAAAGAAAGGGTGAAAATCAAATGTAAATAAGGGGTGTGCATGGGTACTGGGGTACTGGAGTAAACCATTCACATACTGAAATCAGTGTCTGAATATTTGATAGAGTATCTGTTTAGTTTCATCACAGATGTTTCGAGAAAATAGAGACAAAAACTTGGTGTAACAATGATTTTACAATTTAGCATCCAGTATAGATATTATTTGCAAAACCTGGAAAAAGCATCCCGCAGCCATATTGTTGACATTTCGTCAGCATAATGTGTACGAGTAGTCAATGCTGGCTATGGTTTCCAAATCAAGATATCAAGAAAAGGTCAGTTTGATCAGAGATGATGATCCGTACCAAAAGCAGAAGATATCTCTGAGTCCCAGTCAAGAGTTATTGCCTGTGATGACATATCCAGAAATGTATAATTACCTTGTAGCTACTACATCATCCTGCACATTTCAGGAGCTAGAAGCATACAAATCACTAGAATCATATAATTATTTGGTCTATGGAAGGGTCAGCAATACTCTGTCTTTCCTACCATCAGCTACACCATCAAAGGTTGCCATGATTGCAGAAGTGAGTAAAAGCTAGGTTCTATGTTTGATGGGGTTAATAGTTAGCTTGATGTTAGCTTAAGTTACGTAAGCCTTGCTAACATTCTGGCGTTCTCTCAATGGCATTGTCTAGCTAAATTGTGAACAGTTCTCAACCTTTGAAAATGATCAAAGTTGGACAGCTGGGATGCTATAAAAGCTTACGCCATTGTTTTTTGTTGCTATCATTACTACAGCCATGAACCATGCAGCACACCATGACTGTATTTTATCTGTCAGGCTGCTTTATTAAGTAATGGTGTACTAACGGTGGCTCTACCAGTGCCCCTGTGGCGGTTGTCATCAACACGTCGACTGATTGTATGTCAACAATATGGCGGCGGCAATAAGTGTGGCATCAATCGAATACTATATTGTACTGGTTAGCTCTGTTAGCGTAGCTCATCTGATGATGCAGCCTCTGTTACTCATTTAACACAAGAACCTACAGATTTCTCTGTTATTTTTGGAGAATAAAACGTGTTTTAATACGTGTTTCTCTGTTTGCTGCAACACTAGTGCTGTCAGCCTACAGCCCCACATTAATGTGTTTTTTCTGTCCTTGCGGTTAAACAAACACCTGTTCGTTAACCTTTAAAGCCCGTGTATATTGGACAGTCTGTTTTTAATGAAGGTACACTCACCTGCACCGATAGTCCATATTAAAACAAGCTAATGTAAATAAGGTTATGCTTGTGTTATCAGGAGATTTGCTATAAAATACCATGTCTAAAACTAGCCTCAAAGCCTTATTGCTTTAGCATCAAACACCATGTTTTTAAAGCACTAGGCGGGACAGATTTGGATCCTGCTGAAGCTCCCACTAGGACAGGGTCTACATATATATAGCTGCTGTTCTTCCTTATGTCCACCAGGTGTCACTCACATTCACTGATTTAAAAAATACTGAATATTGAACTCTTTTCTGACACTAATAAAATGAAAGCTTTCCTTTGATTATTGATTAGATTAGATAGATTACATTATATTAGATTACATATAGATTATTGATTGATTAGATCCTTTTAGAAATGACCACTTCTATAAGCACATTTATCGTGAAGAAGATCACTTGGGGAGACATTAGTGTGAAAGGAATGTGTAGAAATGTCAGAAAAATTAAGTTGAAATGTTAGTTTGGCTCTATTCTATACAAGGGTCTGGGCCAGGCCCCTTACCCCACCCCATCTAGACAACCAATGAGAGCAGTGGTCATTAGCATACCAAAGAAAGAAAAGAAGCTGGTTTTCACAGAGGAAAAAAGGCCAGGGTAAAATAAATCTGAACTAACTGAAAAAGTGAGGTGTTATTTGTTTAATACTCACAATTGACAGTTGTCTTTCAAAGAGGGAACTATATTGAATCTGAAAAAAAATCTATATTCTTTAAATAAATTAATTTTCTGTGTTTTTTCAGTTTGTTTTATCACAGAATTTGAACATATTGTGTGGAAACTGTACATTAAACATACAAGTCCAGTAAAAAACATCATCATCTGAGCACGAACCATCGTCAAACCTCACGAACTGCCAACATGCTTATCTTCTCCTGGTGATGGCTTCATATTAGCATGGGTAATAATTTTAGAGTGCAATTATGGGTACATTGTGTACATTAGTGTTCTTCGATTATGTCTGTTATCACAAACAAGAGTGATTGTTTAAGGTCTTAATAATCTGTTTAAGATGTTAATTGTTTAAGTTCATTGTTTTTCAAAATGTTCTGAGGTTTACTTTAAGATTTACAGATACTGTATGTATAGTGCACTTATGAAAGCCAGTTTTGATCACTAGAAAAAAGGCCATATAGTACATCGCAATAATAAGAAAGTTTCTCAGAATTATGACTCTCTTATAGTAAGACAATTTTCTAATAATTATGAGACATTTAGTAATCATTATGAGATACAATGCCTTTATTCCGATATACTAAATCATAATTATGAGATTCTGAGTTACTGTGATACACTAAGTCATAATTTAGAGATATTGAGTAGTAATTATGTGATATTATTTCTTGAGACAAGTCATAATTGAGGTGCTAAGTCATAAACATGAGATATTATCTCATTATTACGAGATAGCAAGTTATAATTGAGATATTAAGTCATAATTATTGGAAACCTTCTTATTATTATGATTTAGTACATGGCTATTTTCTTCTTTTCCAGTGGTGGAAATGGGCCTCCATTTGTACTTAAATAACTTTGCAATGGTTAAAATACTTCTATCAAGCCAAGTGAATTTTGCTGTTTATTTTTTCCTGTACATAAAAAAATGTGATGTTTTAAAAAGAAAAGAACGCTTTGAATTGAGGGGCATATTTACCACTTTTCAAGCAACAAGTTGACCTTTAATGTTGTTTTTTTTATTATTTTTTTTAACAGCGCAAAATCTCAAACATTAGTCACAAGCCCATGTGTTTCATCCAGCATCCCTGACAAAGCCGCCTCTTTTATATAAAGAGAAGACATATTCTATAACATACAAGTTCACTGTATGCAAGCTATAGTACAGTATGTTCTTACACAGGCCTTTACAGTATAAACATTATATTCTAAATACAGTATCGTACACATCTTCTGAAATATCCAGCTATCTAGTTAGAAATAGGTAGTTAATTAAAGAGAACAACAGAGCACATATTACTTGTACATACAACCCCAAATCGGAAAAAGTTGGGACAGTATGAAGACGATATTTCATATTTTGTCTGCTTAACATCATTTCATTTTTAAATATACATCCATTTCTTCCACAAAGAGTTGGGATGAGGGTAAATTAGGGCTAATAAAGTATAATTAAAAGTGATGTGATTTCAAACAGGTGATGCCAACAGGTGATTGTAATCATTATTTGTTACAAAAGCAACATCCAGGAAAGGCCTTGTCCTTGAGGAGCACAGATGAGCCAAAATCACCAGTTTGCCAACAAATGTGTTAGAAATTTATTGAAATGTTTAAGATCTCATACAAAAATTTGGAAGGGATTTGGATATTTCACTCTCTACACTGCATAACATAATAAAAAGATTTAAGAACTAAGCTTGCTAAGCTGAATAACTGTGCTGTCCGGTTTCTCAGACAGCACTGCATTAAGAACCATCATTCATCTATAAGCGATATAACCACAAGGGGTCAGGATTACTTTGGCAAACCTCTGTCAAGGACTACAGTACACAGTTACATCCACAAATGCCAGTTAAAACCTTACTGTGCTAAAAGGAAGCCTGATGTTAACCATGTTTAGAAGCGCTGTCGACC